AACACAACTCCAAAAAGAGAGTGAAAGGTTCGAAGCCCACCAAGGGTGCCCCTTTGTTGGGGGAGTCGGTTGAAGACTGTTGCATGATGGAGGCCCGCAACATGGCCGCCGCAGTCTTGGAGGCGGTAATTTTGCTCATGGCGTCCGCTGCAAAAACAAATAGCAAAGTTAATAAAAGTCATAACAGAAATGCATGGAACAACAGAGTATTCGACAGGCCGGCTACCTCTTGAGCACCGACTGCTGAGGCCACAGGCGGCCAAAAAGTACTCTTCGTAGAGCCATTTGAAGCTCGGGACGCAATGCAGGGGTACTTGCTATCGTACCCCTGAAGTAGAGTTCACCTTCGACTCTACTTTGAAGAGTCCTTTATCTAGGATCTCTTTCTTAGCCTTGGGGGAACAGGCGGCATGCTGCGGCCGCTTGCAAGAAGGGGCGGATTCCTGTTCCACCTGTTGAAGCGCTTGTTCAGCTCTGTGTCTGAACTCTCAATGATAAGGAAGGTGCTCCGCCAGTCCTTCCATTTGTTTGCTTTACCTCTTGTCATGAGGTAGCCCCTGTGGCTCGTCAATTGATACTAGCCGATACCGCCTGCCTTAGAGGTCCGGCTGAGGTAGTTCATGTGGGCGAAAGCCTCGAAGTTCGGCTCCACCCCGTGCAGTTCGCACCCGGCCACATAGCCGAGTACGTTGACCCAGGAGTTCGGGGCTAACTGCCATAACCCCAACTCATACCCATCCAAGATCCGCTGAACAGCCGGATGTAGTGGGAAGCGCAGCCCAGCCTTGATGGCTGCCTCGTAGCAGCCAAAGCAGGCGCCATCATAACTAGTACCAGCCGGCCAGACGACTGTGTCTTCTGGATCCGGCACGAACACTAAAAAGCCGGGGCCCATTGTGTGGTTTGCGATAAAGCTCCCCACTTTTTCTTGCATGGTCGTGATCCGGCCCTGAGGTACCATGCAGTAGTAGGGGGTATTTTGCTCTCGGTGAGAGGCGGATGGCTCCGCCCAATTGTCCCCCTTCTCAACTGCGTGAGAAAGCCTCGTCTCTTGTAGGCGACTGTTTTTCTCTTTTGTGTCCAGAGAAGCATGGCCAGAAGAGCTAGACTCAGATTCGTCCTCTGACGAGTCCGAAGAGGACGACTCCTCCCCTCTCCCAGAGGGGCCCGCCTCCTCTCCTTTAAAAGGAGCAGGAGAGAATGTAGAATTGTTAATTGTAAAATGGGAAGGGGTCACTTTGACTCCTCCCTCAGAACTGCCGACTTTCAAGCCGCTTTGTTTCACTTCCACATCTGGCGCCTGGTCAGATGTTTCACTAATCGGCACCTGGTGGGAGGAGCCGTCTGAGTTCGAGATCCTAGCCGTCTTTTTTGTTCTGGCCATCATGTTCTGCATAGACACAGATACAGTCGGACTTTGTATAAAGGGCAAAGATGGGTCCAAAAAAGGGCAGGCGGCACTCCTAGTCCTAGATTCAGCCGTCCCCGGTGACCGGCTGATCGCTAACCTAGGTCGTGTCGTGTGCTTCCGTGGTGCCATTTCAAAAAAGAATAAAGTAAAGAGAAAATTAAGAGTAAGAGAACCGACGGTTACCTGAACGAGTGACGATTGATGAAGTTCTGAAAATCCTTTGCAGTCGACTTGTCAGAGCAGGCGGTAGGCAGAAAGGGTCCAAAATGTCAGAGCAAGTTCAGGGGTCCGAATGTTCTCTCACAAAGTTCTCAAGTGTGAAAATGACCGAAGGCAACACTCCCTTATATAGGCGAAGTGAGAAGGCAAAGGGTCACTTCCGGAATTCAAAATTTGGGCGGGAGAATTTCTCGGCCTTTCGCCGAGTGACACCTGTAGCAGGCTGTCGCCTGTTACAGGGCGACACCTGTCACAGGTAACACGTGACCAGTCACGTGCCACCTGTGAGGGGCAAATGATTAGGGGATTTTGCTCCCACCAATCGGAATGCGCCACGTGGGCCAATCAGGTCCTGCGAAGTGTCCCCTAGTTGGACCTCTCAGGGCTTGCCACGTGGCACACGCTTATTCGTCCACCCTGGACCTATTATGTCATGACACGTGGCATACTCCATGCCTAATGGAGAAGTCGGCCACCTAGGCCCAACTTCCGAGGGAAGCCCAATCAGCCCAAGGTTAACCTAAACCTAGGATTGGTTCGTTTCCCGAGGTTATAAATACCTCCCTTAATCCTCATTAAGGGGGATTACGCAGATTACACACATTAAACACTCTCACCTAGAGAGACCCAATCACTTTAATTTCCGCATTAATTACTCCTTAATCAAGTACTAACTTGACCGTCGGAGGCGGATCTCCAATCATCCGGAGCATCCGTTTGTTTTGCAGGTACAGGCGTCCGGTTCCAGTCTCAGAATTGTAACTCTCCCGCAGGACATCAGAAAACCCCGAAACAATTATGATTATTATTATTATGCTGCTTGATATATTTTATTGTTATTGCTTGATCACGCCTTTTATGCATGTTTAAAGGGAATTGGTACTTGAAATCACGCTTAATAAGATAATTAATAATTTGGTTTAGGCTAATATGATTTTAATTCAAGTGATCGCCAATAGTAGTTTTATTTGTGCATTAATATTCAACCAACATAGATTAAACAGGTTTAGGATTAATCTAATGTTTGCATGTTAGTTAGAAAGCGCACATGAATACGAGTAGAATAAAGTAGAGGCCTATTTTATAGGGCGGGTCCCTTCTTTTGTAGATTGGATTCGTACCCTCATCCCCGAACCCTATTTGGTTCAAGACCTTATGGAGTTGACGATCTCATGGATCGTTAAGGGGTGTAACCTTCACCTCGTGAACGGTTTACAAGTTCCTAAAACTTGTTGGCGACTCTTTTGCTTTCTTTTCTTTCCCTTTGGACGCCACCATACTTAAGTGTATGATCACAGTGGGGTTCAAGCTTGGGGTTATGATGCTTGAAATATTCCCTACAGGAGGTCCATCAATATTCCAACTCACACTCCAACAGTATTTGTCTTGAGTGCTATGAAACAATTCCCAAGCTCTCAAACATCCAAGCCTCCAAAGCCAATATACACTTCTCACTGTATAAACGCCATCAAAGGTAGGGCATCAGTAGCGCCTATCCCTCTTCCGCGGGTTCAAAAGAGGAATGTCAAGAACCACCCTCTTATCCATCACATCAAACGTGGCATTTACCAACTCCTCATTCCAGCAGCTCTTATAAAATCAATGAGATCAATGACTTTCATATTCATATTACTAGTTAGAGAAGGAGTAGGCACAAACTGAGCACCCTCCCCCAACAGCCACGCCTCGTCCCAGACACGAATTGAAGACCCGTTTTCGACTCTCCATTTCATCCCATCAAGCAAAATAGCCTTAGAACCCCAGATACTCCTCCAACTATAGCTCGGATCGTACCCTAGAGATGCCTCCATGAAATCCTAATTCTTGTGGTACCTAACCTTTAAAACACTATGCAGTAGGGAACTAGTGTTATTGCTAAGTCTCCACCCTTTCTTAGCTAACATTGCTTGATTAAAGCATCGCAAATCACGAAAACCCATACCCCCCATAGATTTAGGGAGACAAAGAGATTCCTATTTTTGCCAATGCATTTTACGTCCATCGTCTGTCGACCCCCACAAAAAACGACCAATGCATTTTACGTTCGGCGTCTTTCGACCCCCACAAAAAACGAGCCAAAATAGCATGAATCTCATCAATCAAGCCATCCGGGATACGGAAGATACTCATCATATAAGTGGGAATTGCCTGAGCGATTGCTTTGATAAGTACTTCTTTACCCGGACGAGACAAAAATTTTTCTTTCCATCCTTGTAATTTCTTCCAAATTCGAGCTTTCAACCCTGCAAAAATAGCCTTCTTCAACCTCCCAATAATAGTAGGTAGCCCCAAATACTTCTCATGTCTATCAACCACATTAACCCCAAGCATCTCCACAATCTCATTCCTTTTCTCCAAAGTAACACATTTGCTAAAAGCAACTTCTGTCTTGCTTAGATTAACTTTCTGACCGGAAGCCCTTTCATACGTACTGATAATTTCAGCAATTTTAGAGCATTCTTGCAATGTGGCTTTAGCAAACAGTATACTATCATCGGCAAAAAATAAATGAGAGATCCTAGGAGCTCCTCGACAAACCCGAGCCCCACGAATAACATTATCCCTAGCAGCTTTCGAAATAAGTGTAGAAAAAGCATCTGCACATATCAAAAATAAATATGGGGATATAGGATCACCTTGCCGAAACCCACGAGAAGGTATCAACGACCCAGAAATATCACCATTGTACTTAAAGGAGAATGACACACTATTCAAGCACAACATTATTCGACCAATCCAACTCTGCGGAAATCCCAACTTATCCATAACCTTTCCCAGAAAAGACCACTCCACCCTATCATACGCTTTACTCATATCAAGCTTAAGCGCAATCGTACTCTCTTTCCCTTCCCCTTTCCTCTTCATCCCATGAAAAATCTCGAAGGCGATAAGAGCATTGTCCGTAATAAGTCTATTAGGAACAAAAGCACTCTGATTTTCCGAGATAACCGAACCAAGCATAGTCTTCATTTTATTAGCAAGAGTTTTTGAAATGATTTTGTACAAAACATTGCACAAACTAATAGGCCTAAACTCTGTCACCCGCTTAGGGTCATCACATTTCGGAATCAAGACAATGCATGTGCGGTTCACATCCTTCAAGTCTATCTGACCCCTCCACCATGATTTAACAAAACTAATCACATCCCCTCCGATCGTATCCCAAAATTTCTGCAAAAATAATGCATGCATCCCATCGGGTCCCGGGGCCTTGGTCGGATGCATCTGAAATAAAGCTTCTCGGATTTCCTCCCCCGTCGGCTCAGTCCCCAATTCTTTGCGCATCTCCTCCGTGACAAGTGGCACAACTCCACTAACATCCTCCTCAAAATCACTTGGGTGGTCAGTAGCAAAAAGGCCACCAAAGTAATTAGAGATAAATAGTATCAAGTTCTTGTTTTGAATTTTTCCAGTCACCATGCTCATCAAACAAACCCAAAATTGCATTACGTTTTTTTCTTTGGCTTGCCTTGTGGTGGAAATACTTTGTGTTTTTGTCCCCATCCCGTAATTCATTTGTCCTTGCCCTTGCATACCAATAAGACTCTTCAAGTCTCCGAAGCTCATCAATCTCCCTTCGGATAGCATTACATTGTTCAAGCAAAGCTCCATCAAGTCTTTTTCCTTGAATCTCCTTAAGGAGACCCTCAGCATTTATAATTTTCTTTTTAAGAACACCAAAAGTCCTAGCCGCCCAAGTGGATAATCCTCCTGCAACATTAGCTATCCTAGTATGCATAGGTTCACTCACCCCTGCCATCCAGTGATCAGACACTACTTTAGCACATTGCTTATTCGAAAGCCATAATGACTCAAATTTGAACAATTTCTTCTTTTTATTTCTGTCATCCTTATCCCCACATTTTAACAAAATAGCCGCATGATCCAAATGACAAATGGGGAAGTGAATTACCTCAAAGTGTGGGAATAACGAGCACCAACCATCCATAGCAATAAATCTGTCGAGCCGCTCTTGAACAAAGGTCTCCATACAAGTCCCTCGCTGCCATGTGAAACGATTACCTTTAAACCCAAGATCACGAAAACCGCACTCATCCATGACATCTCTGAAGGCATCCATTTGTCTTTCCCCCTCGAATAGCCCCACCTTTTTTTTCCTCCATGTTGAGAATCTCATTAAAATCGCCAAAACTCAAGATTGGGATGTTGCTGCCTTTCTTTTTGGCTCTCAGAAGCTCCCATGTTTGAATTTTATTGGCTTCCTCGAGCCACCCCCACACCCCAAAGCCTTCCATATCGGATTTTGATCACTATCACAAACATTTGCCTCAACATGATGAGCCGAGTAGGAGCACTTATTTACCTCAACATCTTTCCACCAAAAGCCTATTCCACCCGACCTTCTATTATTACTCAAACACAACCCATTTGTATAACCACACCTATTTCTAATCAACTCAAGTCTCTGAGTATCAATTTTTGTCTCCATAAGAAAGACAATGTTCGGCCTATATCTTCAACACCAATCTTGGAGAGCCTTCACTGTTAACAGGTTGCCAAGCCCGTAACAGTTCCAACTTAAGATTTTCATTGCTCTTCGCAGTGTTGGTCATTACCAACCACCGCTACTTGGACATTTTGCGAAACATCCGAAACATTCTCACACACCTTAGCTTTCTTCGCCTCCCCTTCACCCACATACTCCCCCATACTCCCCGAGCCGTCCACACTCTTCCTCTTTCCCATAATCATCTCACCATGGTCTTCATCAGTTTCCATATCAACCTGTCCCTGAACTTGTTTTCGAGCAAATTTTTTAATCTTTCGAGGTTGATTCTTGTTAGTTGAAGTACCACAAGAAAAAACAAACGGTGTAGCAGCTAAAGGATTTGTGACAGGTTGTATAATAGTCAACAATTGCTCCTAGTTTCCAACATTATCATAAGCTGATCCTTCTCCACTACCACATTATTATAATGAGAATTGTCAACCGTAGGACCCACCTTATAATTTGCTACAACATGCTCCTGGTCATCACGAATTACATCATCTCCACTAGTAGTAGTCTTTGTATGAGCCAAGTAAGCATCATTATTCTTGGTAACTGTAGACACCCATTTGTGTCTCCCCAAAACCAAACCCAGTGATGAATACCTTTCGCGTCGAACTATAATCGAATGAAGTGAAAGTGTGAATAGTATAGTGTTGCGGTTATTTTAATTTAAAATCTTTCTTTCTGTTTTCGCAAACCCACCCTATTTTATGAAAACGTCCAATCCAGTTAGTTTGGTCCATGATATGGGTCCAATAATAGTGTAGTTGGATGGGGTTTGAAAAGACGTTTCCAATGATATATTATAAGCCCAATTCCGATGAATAATGAGGAAGTTATGGCCAAAATACTAAACTGGGCCCAAACCAGATTTTACCTATGACCCAATGATCATGTGGAGGGCCCAAAGGTTTAATCATATTCCTAAGCTAATTAGGATTGATTAGAATCTTCTATAAGTTTCTAAAAAGATCTTAATTATCCTTTTTTGAAAAGATAAGATCAAGGAATTTGATTTAAATAAAAACTTTCCTTTTTATAAAAACTTTCCTTTTTTAAAGTCCTAATTTTATTTGAATTTAAAGATGTTCAAAGACAGTCAGATATTATTTTAGTGCCTCATAATTTTTATCCAAATTTTATATGTTTGGATAGATCTTTAAATTATCTTTCCAATGATATATTATATTATTAATTCCGAGCTATAACGAAAAAGATATGAAAGGAATACGAAATCCTATCCAAAACTGATACCGTCCTACTATTTCAGCCTTATCTTTTTACCTACAAAAGATTTTAATCTGATTCCAATTAGGTTGGAAATTAGACTTCAAGAGATTTCCAACGACATATTATATGCCTTATTTGGACTTTTGGATCAAAAGATATGATAAAAACAAAATCCGTAAAAACTGCTGTCTACGAGTTTTATTTTGATTCGAATTCGGATTCTTTTCTTAATTCTTCGACCCTCTTTTTTCCTATAAATAGAGGTCGTATCTCTCTTTTTTCAATCATCAGCAATCATCAACTCTCATCAAGGATTCGTTGATTCTCTCTCTCTTTCTAGCTAGCTTTTACAAAACACAATGCCGCACTCATTAGATCTAGAAACACTGTAGACACCCAAATGTGTCTCCCCAAAACCAAACCCGGTGATGAGTGCCTTTCACGGCGAATCATAATTGAATGAAGTGAAAGTGTGGAAATTTTAGTGTTGCGGATAGTTTTAATTTCTTTTCTCTTCTCTCTGTTTTTGAAAACTTATTTTAAGAAAATAGCTAATCCAGTTTGGTTGGTCCATGATATGGGTCCGATAGTAGTGTGGTTGGATGGGGCTTGGCAAGAGCTTTCCAACGATATATTATAAGCCCAATTCCAATGAATATTGAGGAAGTTATGGCCAATTTACTAAACTGGGTCCGGTTTGAGCCTTATATGCGGCCCAATGATCTAGGGGAGGGCCTAATATGATTTATCATTAGGAATGGTTTTAGTCTTCTAGAATGTTCTTTTCATTCCTAATTCGATTAGCATTGATAAATTGACTTTTGTTGACTTTTCAGAGTTTTAATTAAAATCAAAGAACATTTTTGAGGAAAAGATACGATTTTATCCTCCTGTACGGCAAAATTTATCTGATTTTAGAAAACGCGTCAAAAACAGGATTGACGCCTAACGCCAGGCATTGGCGCCTGGCGCTGACGTTGGCGCCTGGCGCCAATGGCCAATGGCTGGCGCCGATCTCGTTTTGCGTGCGCCAGACTCTGTTCTGTTAATTTTATCTTTTTGGCTGATTTTCTCTATAAATAACGTCGTAAAAACTCCGTTTTGATTCACCTACAATCAGTTTTCAATTCTCATTCTCTTCTAATTCATCTCCTTCATCATCTCTCTCTTTTTTCTAAACTTGCTTTTTACATACAAAATTTCGCATTCACAAGATCTAGAAACACCTAGCCATATTCGAAGTAGCCTTTGCTCTAGACGTGAAAGGTTTAATTTATGAGGGTTTGGTCCCAAAACTCTCTTTCAATTATTTAATTTGATTATTTGTTTATTATTTTCCTTGAAGTTACTAACGTGTGTATTTTGTTATTAGAAAGAGATACGAGGCATCAAAGTAAGTACTTTAATGTTTTTATTGATGTTATGATCATGTTTAAATTGTTATTATGATATTCCTAGTATCATGTCTAGGGTAATTTTAATATTAAATATGATTGTTATGATGTCTTCTATGTTCTTCCTAATATTTATGATTCCTAGTATCATGTTAGGGTTAAAGATTTGATTTTTATTGTTTAGTGACATGCTAGGGTTGGTTATTAATCTTGTTAGTATCATGCCTAGGATCTTACTATTTTTATTATGCTTTAATATTAACATGAACATGTTTATGAATATTAACATGAACAGGTTTAGGGTTAATCCTATTGATTGTATGTTAATTAGAAAGCGCACATGAATACGATCTGAACAAAGTAGAGGCCTATTATTAGGGCAGGTTCAATCTCTTTTAGGTTGGATTTGTACCTTCATCCCCGAACCCTTATTTGGTTCTAGACCTTATGGAGTTGACGATCTCTTGGATCGTTAAGGGGTGTAACTTCACCCTGTAAACGGTTTACAAGTTCCTAAAACTTGTTGGCGACTCTTTTGCTCTATCTTCTTCCCTTTTGGACGCCACCGTACTTTAGTGTATGATCACAGTGGGGTTCAAGCAAGGGGATTAACGCTTGAAATTTATTTCCTACAGTTTTTGACGACTCCACTGGGGAGGATTTTTATTTTAATTCCTGAATTTGTTTCGGCAATGATTTAGAATGAGTGGATGAGACTCGAAACGTTCTAATTATTTCATGTGCGTAATTTTGATTAACATTATTTTCATATGCATAAAAAATATCTCATTGGAAAGACCATCCGTAATGAGTTAAAAACATAGGATTTTACACGTAGGAAATTTGAGAAATATCTTTCACAACTAAGACCGAAATAACACCGCGCGAAACTGGAAAATTTTATCGAGCACAGAAAGGTGCAGAGGCATGTGGGAAGTAACGCCAATGACCAGAGCTTGGCGCCAGACTTTTAGCCGTAGCGCCAGACGCCAGCATTGGCGCCAGGCGCTACAGTTAAAAGCTGGCGCCAGTCTCTGTTTGCTGGCGCCAATTTCCCCCAATACCGAGCCAGAAATATGCGTTCTTATTTCGACCAGTTTTCGTATTGTTTGCTCGATCCTACTTCCTGATTGAATTTTTTCTCACTTTTCTGAAACCCATATGTGTTCCACATATGGACATAACCCTCTGGGAATTCATGCTCCATCTCTCTAATTGCACGCTCTGTGCAACAAAGGGTACATCCGAGAATGTTGAATTCACCAAACCATGGAAGCGAGTTTTTTCTAAAACTCGCGGTGTCCCATCCACTCGCGCCAACCCTTCATAGTTAGGCTTTCGCGCGGTGCATCCGGACAATTAATCATGGACCCTCTATTGACTAAACCATATCCCGAACTTTAGAGAACTAGAGCCATGGTTAGGTTGCGAACTCGTTGCATCATATTGTGCCTACTTGACTAATTGTGCATTATTTGTTGTGCATATATTCTATGTTTCTCTTAACCGTTTGTTTGACTTGTTTTGAGATTAAATAAATTAATGACTTAAAGAACTTTGCCTAATTTATTAATTAATTAATTTGAGTCAATAAAGTCTAATATTTTAATTAGAATTGACCTAGTACGACTTTAGGCATACCCCTTTTGATTAATAACACCGAAACAGTCCCTGATTGAAGCTCCAGCATTGGCGCCAAAATCTGGACTGTAGCCCACCCTGTGGAGTGTGGCGCCTAGCGACAGCTCTGTCGTCTGGCGCCAAGCTCCACAGTGTGATGCTAGTCCTGTCGTTTGGCCGACAGTTCGGATTATTGATTGAGTCTTCACCTATTGTCTAATTAACCAATTTGCTAATTAATTCGGTTAATTTTCGCTGTCAATAACACCTTGTCGAGTCATTAAGTGAGACTAGTCACATAGTCTAGCCACATGGTCATGACAC